ATAAAATCAAGATTTTGAAGCATCTTCTATGACTTTACAAGTATTGAAGAGAACTTATGGTGAACAAAGCACTCGGAATGTGGCCTGTCAAGTTATTGAAACTCAAATCCCTGGTATAGAAAGAGGAATTAAATTAATATAGGAAATGCAAGCAAATTTCATAGACAACATGTCAATCAGGCAAAGTGTGAACAATTCTTACAGATTTTGTAAATTTTGGAGTTCTCCAATATCAGATGGAATACTACCAGTAATTAATGCATTTCTTAAAATTCTACAGGAAAAATAAGAACAAAAAAGGAGAGTAAAGTTTATTAGTCAACTAACTAATAAAACAAACACAACAAAGGCAAACAAAGATACAGGTTTCTGTACATGATTAGAGAGTTTTTACTTACAAGCTAGTTAAGTTCTTTAAATTTCTAATGAAATCAAGAGAAGAGCTCACATTGGATAAACCAATGATTCGCCTGCATGATTATAGATAAGAATTGAAGAAGTTAGCCATTATACATACTTTCAGAATCATGCATGCAGAGAGAGTATAAATGGTAAGTGGATAATTACTTACAGAGATTCTAGAGAGGTTAATTTAGGAAAACTGGATGGTATAGGACCTTCAAAGTAGTTCCCTTCAAGTCTCCTACAGAAATATTTCACAGGCTAATCAAGAAAGAACAAACTAGATATATCTCACTGTTGAAGAAATGAGGCAAAACAAATTAAAAAAGAATGGCTTTAAAAATTGAAAAAGAATTAATTGTAACTTACAATAATTTAAGGTTTGTCCAGTTGCCAATGAAATCAGGTATCTTCCCTGTGAAAGGATTGTCTGATAAACACCTAAAATCCAAAAAGCTCTCTATTAACGATAGGGTAAGAGAAGATGATTTTGAGATTCTCCAGAAACATAAGCAGACAAATAAATACAGCTTATGATCCCAGGGACCTTCTTACATTTCTTGCATGTTTAGAAGGTTAGCAAATGTTGAGGGAATTTCACCACCAACTCCACAGCTGTCAATGTAACTATACATTCATAAACCAAAACTGTTTAGTCTCCAATGATATGCTTGTTACTGCACAAACTTATTGAGCTACAAAGAACTAGAAGAAAGTTATAACTCACAGTTGTTCAAGTTTGACTAAATTGCCAAGTTCCAGTGGGAGTGTTCCAAAGAAATCATTAAAACTAAAGGCTCTGCATGAAAGAATTCAAATAAAATATTTTTATGGAGAAATAGAAACCATTAAAATTGACATGGGGTTATGTTTAAACCAATTGCAAGGATTGCAATTCTCAATATCAAAATTAAGTGAAGATTAAAAGTCTTTCGAGAGATTTTGCTGGTCTCTCAACTCTCAAAAGGAGGAATGTTGTGAGGGTTTTGTGTGAAATTTAATCAACATAAAATGTCCCAAGCTTTTCAGAAGAGCCACACAGACTCTGTCTCCATCAGTGCCATAAATCTTCTGGTGACTTGACAACCATATTGCATCCCTACTTCACATCATACATAAAACAAGATGAGTACCTCAGGACCTCTTGGAAACCATTTATACGAAGATTATATTAAAATCATAAAAAGACCAAATCACTCAAATTATCTACAATCCCTCGCATTTCTATCAAAGGCAGTTGAAACTGATACCCATTATGAGTACCTGAAGTTATTTATCATCCCTTCTGAAATCCATCAATTCAATGCATATCAGAATTCAGAAGTACTGTTATTATTGTGAAATGATGTTACATCAACTAGTAGGCACTGCCATACCAACAATTAATTTTACATATTAGAGTTGTGGCTGTCTCCCTTTCCTAATCCACCATCACCCCTCTGAAACAAATTCTCTCCAGACTTCCAGATCCTCTCAACATAATATTGAATTGATATTTCATTTTATAAGAAAGGCACCTTCATAATAACCAAGAACCAAACTTTTGCATGATGTAACCTAGAGGCTAAATGTATGTGGTAGAACAGAACCATTCGATGCATTACAATGGCAGATAAAAAAGAAATAAAAAAAAATGATGCATTATGATGACAAAGTAGAATTTCTTCAAGTCTTACAGATAAGTTAGCTCCTTAAGATTTCCAAGCTCCTTAGGAATGGGCCCAAAGAATGCATTGATGCAAATAGACCTTGACACATAAAACATAACCCAAAAAATTACCAGTGGCTTCTCAAATAAGAATTAGCAAAAATAACAGACCAAAATCAATGAGTTTTACCTACAGAATAAGCATGATCAACATAATCAGAAAATAAGTGAGAAGTATTGATAGTAATCAGTGTAAATGATGGTTTTTAATGCTGGTACATGAAATGAGACACTAAAGTAAACACAAAGTGCTTCACTTCACGGAGTTGAATATCTTCAGCACTTGAATGATTTAGCTTCATAACCAAGGGTCAATGCCTCTTTTTTAGTATAAAGTAAGTAAGATACAATTAGCAGGTTGATACATGTATCTAGACGGTATAAAGACATTTAACCTCTGGAACCAAAAGTCAGAAAAACTAGACATGGAAATTTCAAAAGTTTTTGATAAATGCTATTTATTAAAGTAAAATAAAATGCTTTCATAAGACCACCAGAATCCATGCTTACAAGCGCTGCAATGTAGATAAATTCCCAATCCATGCCGGCAAGGGACCGGTGAGGTAATTTAGCCTGAGATCCCTGCATCATCAAACAATGAACAATTTAGTACTCCTAAAAACTCTACAGAAAAATGATAAACTGTCATTTTCTACGAGCTAAAGAAAAAGAGAAACCATACAGAACGGTTAAGAATTTGAAAGCCAAAAGCTCCGCCGGCATCCCCCCTCGTCTGTTTAGTCCAACCACTTTCCTGGGAAAATGAACAAACAGTTAGAGTGCAACTTCACAACCGAGCAAAAGTTCGAAACAGAAGTGAATGCGTTCGCCTGAGCAGCAAGAGACGGAGAGAGTACAGTCCGGTGATGTGGCAGGTAGTAGCACTGTTGAAGGAGCAATCACATGCGATGGCCGGATTGTTCGAATCGTATAGGCTCTGAGCAGCTCCGTTGCATGGGTCGCCGCTGATATTCCAGGAATTCTGCGGTGCCTGTATTTCCCATTGTTGGAAGATTGAGTTCAATGCACTCACTGCATTAAAAATCAAGAAATGTCAAAATGCTTCCGGTGTTTTTCAGGTTTTAGAGGAAGCTGATCTAATTTTGTTACTTCTTTTACGCGGGCCTAAGATTCGTACCCATGACGAATTACTGTTTGGGCCTTTTACGAGCAGAGGCCACTGTAATAGTGGGCCTCACGTAGTCACATGGGCTTAATGATTTTAAAACTCTCGATTGTCGCGAGACAGACAGACTGAACAACTGTTTTCTTTATTTTCTGATTTTAGATTTTGTACGTTTGAAAAGTAATCCTCGCTAATCTCTTAACTTCTCTCCATCAAATTAAAGTACATCTTCATCGTCTATTTTTTTAAAAAAATTAATGTAAATCTTACACACGTAGACACTTATAAATGATCAAAGAGTAAAGTTTTCAACACGATCAATAAATTTCTTGTAAATCTACTTTTCTGCACTGAAAATTCGTTTTTTCTTTTCTTTTCTTTCAAATATTTAGATTATTGATAATTATAACTCAAAATATATATCCCATTTGACTAAAATCAATACCTGATAATTATTTTTAAAAGTTCAAAACAATCGCCCCTTAATATTTTAGAAATTTAGTTTAAACTACTTAAGATAAGTTTCAAACTTTGTTATTAATTTATTTAAAGATATAAATTTTTTACGTTTTAAAATTAAATAATAAAATTTTATTTTTTTATTTAAAAATATAAATTTTGTTTTATTTTGATTAAGATTTTTCTTTATCACATTATTATTATATTAAATAAATTCTTAAATAGAAAAGGCAAAAACTTTGCGAGATTGTTTATAAAAAATAAAAACTTAAAAAATTCTATATTTTTAAATAAAAAAACAAAATTTATATCTTTATCTTCACATTTCTTCATCAATACAACAAAATTCCAAACTTAGTTTTGACCTTTTCTTTTCTATTAATTTTATGCCAACAACGGACAATTGGACAGAAAGGACAAGAGAGAACTAATTCACATGTTTTGACAAATTAAATTCTTTAAATTAGAGTAATTATTATTATCAGAGAAAGTTAATGCTATCTTTTAAATTTTAAAAGCTTGGTGGTGCCGATTAAATAAAATAACTTGTTGGACATAAAATTTTAAAACTAATAACCAATAATTAAATTCTTTTGGATGAGATTAAACTTATTTGTTTTAGTTTAGCATTGCTAAAATTTTTACAAGAAAAATAATTTAGAGATAATTTTTTATATTATTTTTTGTATAACTATTTGTATTATTTAAATAATTAATTCTTTTTATTTATTTAAGATCCATAATATTAAATGTATCTACTCATTTAACAATATATAAGAGTTATATAAAAATATGATACAAAAAAATTATTCATATACCACCTTAAAACCAAAACAAAAACGGTGATGATACCACTAAAAGAGGCGTAAGAAAATTTTCGTATTTTTGTATAAATTAATAATTTAATATGTCTGCAAAAGATATATTTAATTAAATAAAACAAGGCATATAAAAAAAAAATTAAGCCAAACAATTCTATATATAACTATGAGACTAGTTTGGCTATTTATTTTATAGGGGTAATTTTCAAATTTTAAATTAAATTTTAATTAAATAAAATAATATTTTAAAATTCAAAACTTTAATTTTTTCAAAGTTAAAATTGATATACATTTATATATATATATATATATATATATATGTATACATATGCTCTTTATTTATATGGCTTGAATCAATATGAGTTAGATGACGCAGACAAAGAGATCAGAGAAGTACCTTTAGATGGCTTTTGAAAAATAGAAAATGAAAGTTAAAAACATTGGATTTTAAGGGGGATAAAAAAGATTAAAAGGTCTTACCTTAATCTTTTATAGGGATAAAAAATATTTAGGCTCAAGTTTTTTTTTTTTAATTGAAAAGACCTTACTTGAAATTCATTCTTCATTGTGCCCCCAAGTAATTTACAGATGATTTTTTTTTTTGTACTATCTCCTGTTATTCAGAAATCACATTGGATTCTAACTAATTCAGAGTTAAGCCGGGTCGGACTCATATAGGGGGAAGCTCTCTCAACGTCTGTTTTGCTATTCACAAAACTTGAACTTAAGATTTTGTTTAAAATGAACTGAACTCCTTCCGTTAAAACCAACAAGTTGATGGTTATAGATGGTTATTATTCTTCATTGTTAGATGGTTATTATTCTTCATTGTGAAAGCATGTTAATATATTACTATGAGTTCTATATATATATATATATATATGAGGTGATCTGTTTATATATAAATTTTATATATTATATTTATATAAAATTTTAATTATTTATCTATCAACTTTTAATGATTGAGATTTATTATAAATTTTAGATAAAAAAGATAATTATTTTTAATAAATGTGAATAAATCTCAATTATTAAAAGTAAAAAAATAAATTGTTGTAATGTTATGTAAATATTGTGTATGAAATTTGTATATAAGTGAATTCTTTCTATATATATAAGTAAAAATTAAAATGTTCTAAATTTAAAATGATAAGATTTCTTGTAAAATTATTCAAATATCCTTAATAAAATTTCTTCAAAAAATCTCTTTGTAGTAGGTCTATTAGACTTTTCCTTCAAATTAAGTGAAAATAAAATTTTAAATCTTATATAAGTGAAAATACTTTAACTAAATTTCTGATAAGTATATTAAAATTTTTTAAAAGGTCTACATTACCCTTTTTTCGGGGAAACAATTAAAATGTTAAGTTCTCATTAATTTTAATTAAATAAATATCAAAATTTTCAAAAAAGAACAATAAGCATGACCCTTTCTTCAATTTTTTATTACTTTGATTAATAATTTTTATTTTAATAACTAAACCTAATTCAAAAATTCAGTTTTGATTACAAGAATTTGATTTTTTTTAATATGGTTCATTCAATTAACAAAAATTTTTAATCTTTTTAAGTAAAAAGAGTTATTTTATCATTATTTAAAGTAAAATATTTACATTAATTAAATTTATTCTAAATATCAAGTGATTTGGAATTGAACAAAACACATTTAAATAAAAAAAATTGAGAAAATTGTGTAGAAAGAGTAATTTTTATTTTTTAATTTTATGATAATTTATTTAATTAATATTAATAAAAATTTGGGGAAATTTTTTTGAGTGGAATTCTAATTTTAACCTCTCAAACAATAAGTGTAACAGAATATTTTTAAAAAGTCTATAATACCCTAATAGAAATATATGTATATTAAAAAATTGGACTGAAATTCTTTTTATATCAAATTAAACAAGAAGAAAAAACGAAAAATATATATTGGTTCTCTCGTCCTCTTCCCTCTTTCGCTTTCAAAAGCATGATCCCTCTTCTGTGATGAGCTAGTGAAGTCCAAATGGATTACCAAATCAAACAAAGTGATTTACATCTCTTTCCCACTCAAAACCCATAAAATTTTGGATTCATTAAGACTTTTTGATTCTTGCCACCCAAAAACAAAAATCATGTTCATCCAACCCAAATCACCAAGATAACATCCAAACAAACAAAAAATCAGATTAGTAACCTTTGAGGAAAAACCATCCAAAGAAACACAAAATCAAATAGAAAAACTTTGAAAATACTATAGAAGAAAAACTGCAGCATCTGGGTCAAACTGATCCTGGTTAAGTTCTTGTTGTGGGTTCTCAATTTGGCAGAAACTGAAAATTTTAAATATTCTCAATTCGCAAAGAACTAAGAAATCTTACGCTTCTCTCACATGGGCAGAGAACCAAAATATCCTCGGTTGTGTTGTGACACAACCAAGGTTGGATGTCGGTTTGGAAACCCTTGAAAGGAGAATGGAGAACTTTGAGGAAAGAGGATGAATGATAGGTAATTTTGTAATTTTAATATTTTGTAATAATTTTATATTAATTATATAATGACCATAACGAGATAAAAAGAGTTTAGTTTAAAATGTGAGGAAGAAGATTTATGACATTTGACAAAATAATTATCCTAAATAAGTAAATTTGGGATACACTTAAAAGTACTTTAGTTGGAGATTTTTTTCCCTTAATTAACATAAAATTTAGAATCATTACCGAATTGTGAGGGAAAATTTGAAGAACCCATTATATAGAAAATTTTCCTAAAAATTTAGTATTTTAACTATTATATCTAAAAGAATGTATTATAAATATTATAAAAAATTTTGATATAGTTATAATGAATTTTGTTAGAGTATTCTTATTTATATAAAATTA